CGGTTATTTGGTCCGAGTGCATTTTCTTTGCTGGCTACATGAGAGGTCAACACGTCAGCTGTTTTTGTGTTCGTGTAGCCTCGGCGTGCATTGTGATTTATGACCGATACATCTGACCTGATTTTGATGAGCTCCTAAGATGAGACAATTGCCCACCGTAGGGTTTTATTTTATTTTTTGTCCACTCGGTGCACAGTGGCCCCTAATCTGATATTTAGGTCGAACATTTAGGGACGGACACTGTAAATCGACTTGTGAACGAAATATTCACTCTACTCATTTTCACGATATTACTGATGAATAGGCGGAAGTGTGGGGAAGAAGTTTATCAGCGATGAAAAATATTCAAGGATCATAATAAATTAAAAAAAAAAACAAAAACAATCTGCAAATTTCCTCGTGGCAAAGGCAGGCGTCGATGAAAAATGTACTTGCGCCGTCTCAACTTTTGGCCATCCCTGATTTCAGGGCAATGTGGAGCTCTGTCCACACATTTGAGCACAAAATAATACAAACGTAAAATATCGAGAAAATATAAATTGCATTTTCGATAGTTACCTTTAAAAGAGGGGCCGAAGAAATCGTTGAGTCTGTATGTGAGGGTTTCGGTGTGAGCTGTGACTTACAGCAGCTCTTGCATGAGTGTGCTCTCCGTCTGTGTTTTATTGTTCTTCAGGCATTCAATAAATGGCTGAAAAGTGCATATGCGACTCTCCTTTCCCACATGTGAGGTCATTACAGAAAGTAAGGTACGAGAAATATTGGCGATATTGCGGGGATTCCAGCAACAGACAAATATAAAGTAGATACGTTGCACAAAAATATCAGTGACCGTCTAGATTGCGGAGGAGCACAGTCATCCCATCTTGACACACCTACGGGACTGCACCTTTTAGCAAAATTGCTATTGGATCTCAATTGTTCATCTGATTTGGAGGACTTGGATCACTTTTCACTCTCAAAAGGTGCCTGATGGGAGTTCATTACAGCGTGCGAGCGTGCGTGCAGAGAGGTGTGCGTTTGTCTCTCTGCGGTGTCACTGGGGTGTGTAATTGAAATGGAAATGAGCCAATCAAAGAGTGTGATGGCCAGTCACGCTGTCCCGTGTGCTCTTTCCAAATTTCGATTCTTCGTGTTTTCGTGCGCGTGTTTGCGTGTGGACCCTTTTTTTGGTTGGAGCTTCATTGCGGCATGCAAAGCAACAGTGTCTGGGCCCGGCTGGCTCGCCTGGCTGACTCTGTGGTGTGACTCGGAGCCTTCTGAGACAGCTGCACCATAACAGAGACATGTAATTATCACCATTTTACAATTAGCCCACCATTTAACTCAGCTCCTTAATTACCTGTTTTTGTGCCAGAGAGCCTCCCCCCCCCGACATGGCTCTCCATGTCTTTGCAAATGTGACGAAGTATGTTCGAAAATGGAAAAGTGATTGTAATGGCTCGGTCAAGTGTGTTTTGGGTTTAGTTACTCCACAACAACTCCATCTGGGCAGCTTTTTTTTTTTTTTTTGCCAGCTTTTATGAGGCGATCACAATGAGGGGATTTGCTGAATTACAAATACCACATTCTCACATTATCCGATGCTAAATGTATTAGACACTCACAATGGTATGTGTTGCATAATTATGTGAACTTTATGTGGGGACTTTTTAACCAGCAGTTCAGGGCCCACAAGAAAAAAATATCGTGAATTTTTTTTTTTTTTTTTTTTTGGTGGGGCATCCCCCAATGCTCTACTTTTTAAATAAATACCACAAAATATTTACGTAGGAATATATGCTAACCAGGGTGCCCCGGTGGTCCAGTGGTTAGCGTGTCGACCTCACAGTGCGGAGGTGCAGGGTTCGATTCCGGCTCCGGCCTCCCTGTGTGGAGTTTGCATGTTCTCCCCAAGCCTGCGTGGGTTTTCTCCGGGTACTCCGGTTTCCTCCCACATTCCAAAAACATGCACGGCAGCCTCATTGAACACTCTAAATTCTCCCTAAGTGTGAGTGTGTGCGCGGATGCTTGTCCGTCTCTGTGTGCCCTGCGATTGGCTGGCAACCGGTTCAGGGTGTCCCCCGCCTACTGCCCGAAGACAGCTGGCATTGGCTCCTGCACCTCCCGCGACCCTTGTGAGGATAAAGCGGATCGGAAAATGGACGGATGAAAATATGCTAACCACTTTTCACTTTGCTGTCCCAAAACTGGAATGGAATATGGATACTGGAAAGAGAGAGTACGGGAATGAAGTACTGTTTCTGGTGCTTGGTCAGCCAGATGTAAATGAGTCGATTCATCATTATACCGTAATTGTAACATTTAAAGAAACTCATCGAGAAATTTTGTTTTGATGCAGCTGGCTTCAGTCCGTCCACTTTCAAATCAAATGTGTCTGCTTTCCATGGCTGACACAGGAGATCCTCATTCTCTTACATTTGATCACATGTTCGTATGTCTCCTTCCAACCGACGTGTTCGGGTACAGCGTGGATTTGGTTTCTGGCAGCGGGAGTTTGAAGTGGGAAAACAGACACGCCCAAGTTGAGCCGAGCGGATACTTGGGGAAGAGACTTGGAGCTGATATACTTCAGCATAGCTCATTCCTCTCATGCTGGCGTTGTATTAGTCGTTCTCTTTAGAGGGGTATGTACTCAAGTCGTATCAAAGATTCACCGGCAGCTCGGAACTGCTAGTTGCTGTATTCTACTTCCTCATGTAAACTTTCACTTTTCTTTGGAAGCCAATCCTCTCTCCCTCCTTGTTCCTTTCTCACTCGGTGCCAGCTTCTGGCTCTGTCAGCGCTGCCCCTTTGCCAAGCGCCCTCCACGGACATCGCCAACCTAACACGGGGCACACAAAGTGTGCGTGGAATCGGAAATGTGTTTCTTGCATGTTTGTGTTCACGTTACCGATATCTTTTGTGTCTGATTTTACACGCTCTCTGGGCAACCCCCCAAAAAAAAAAACCCTCGGCTTCATTTACAGTCGGGGCCGGTCGCCACCCGTGGCGAATGCTGAGGCTTGAAGAGGAGGGCAGTTGCAAAATTCACACCTACACATCTAAAGTCATGCTCACATTCGATATCTCCTCTCCATCACATGCACACCGGCGGATGAAAAGGATGTAGCCATTAAATCTGTGACATTTTAAAGGAAGAGAAATGCGTGGCTCTTCCTGGACCTCAGCAAATTTGTTATAAATGAGTTATTACATATAAGCTGCTTGATGCTTTGCTTGTAAACGCTTCACAACGGTATTTGCCCTGCAAGAGTAAACATAGGCGAAGGGGTGGGGGTGCGGGGGATAGAAGAGTAGTTCACACTCACATACATAGATGCACATAAATGAATCTACAAAGCAAAGCCAGCTGACGCATATGCACACTGTAATGGGAAATGGCTGGGGGTGCGTTTGCCACTTTATTGTGACATTAATCATTCAATTATACCGACACAAATGAAGTGACAAGTGAAGGCGCTCCGAGCAGATTGCCGGAATTGCTATGTGAGCTTAAGGAAAAAAAAACTTTGCGTGATGCGTGTCGGGATTGCCACTTTGTTGAATCGTAGCGCAGGAGATGCCGGATCAGCATTCTCGCACATATGCAGCGACTTGAGCCGACCAAATCCATCCTCGAATGGGATCTTCAAACTCCACAATGACGCAACTAGACAGAGTTGAATTGAGAGCATATGAAGTGAGAAATGGCACAACGGGGATAGACGAGGATAACACAAAAAAGCTGCGTGCATTTTTAGATTTTTTTTTTTCTTCTGGTAGAGAGTTCTAAGAAGAAAAGAGTTCAGCGTGATTTGTAGATATGAACCCTTTCAGGGACATTGTTATCAGTTTACAGCGTGCATGAAAGGGTTAATGCTGAGCCCTCCAGAGTTGTTGTCATACTTTTGCGGGGTCTCCAGGAAACCCTTCCTACAGTCTGCAATTTTCAATTAAAAGTTTGGTCCGGTTTTACGGACTCGGCTGTAAAGCCGACATGCCAGATGGTTTGTTTCACAAATCCATCAATGAAAGAGTGAATAGAAACTAATTGGGAAGAGGGCAAGGGCTTAAAAAAAAAAACAAAACAGTGTTTCGATAGGGCTTCTGCCTGTCACATCCATTACGGGCCAATCAGATCAAAAAGTAATGGAGTAAACGACTTCCTTGACGAAAAGCCACTGTCTCGTGAGAAACGAAAACCGCCGCGCAATCAAGAAATGTTGCCTCTGTTTTTTTTTTTTTCGTTATCTACTTTCTACCAATTCCTTATACACTTCCAAAAAAAAAAAAGTACCAACCCTGCGCAATTGTGTGGCACCGTCACATTGAGAGCGTTTGAGGAGGGTGTTAAAAGGCACACAAAGCATGTTGAACAGGCGTTTTTCTCCGTGACCCTGACGCCAGACCGCCGCAGACCTTCGCGGCAATCGCTCTCGAGTTGAGGGCATTCCGCAGGTGCGGGACCGATTCTGTCATCAGCAGATGAGATGTGTTGAGCGCGTGTTTAGATTTGTTGTCGACATCTGATGAATCGGTATGTATCAAAGCCCTCTGACCCCCTTGTGGCCTCTTCCAGCGCAGCCGTCGGGGGACCGGGCGTCGTGTTTTTCTCATCATGACATTTCTCATCTGGACCCCCTTGTACGGCCGTGATCTTTTGTACCGCGTCTGCGTTTGTCCTTCTGTCGGCAGAGATTCTCGAGTGCTTTTTTTTCTTCTCTGGAGAAGCGTTTTCTTCCCACACTTTACTTCTCCCGCCATGCGCAGATGCGCGTGCAAGTATGCGCCGCAGTGACAGATTTATAGCTATAAACAAACTCGTGTAAAGAAATTTATTGAAGCTTGAAGATGAGAGCCGGCTGCCAGTAAATTTCAACGCCGCAGTGACAGAGTATCAAGCGCGCACGCTCTGCATATGTATGCTGAATTCGAACACTTTAATCGGCGCTAATTTGAGGCACTGTTCAGGATTCCGGTGCGTCAGTGTGAATTAATTTTGCTTTGTTTTTTCCTAGATTCCACCGTGGGGACTATCACATCGACGTGTGCATAAATGACTACCTGGATGTCTACTGCCCGCATTACGCCGACTCGGTGCCCGAGGAGAGGACGGAACGCTACGTCCTCTACATGGTCAACTACGACGGCTACAGCACGTGCGACCACACCTTCAAGGGCTTCAAGCGCTGGGAGTGCAACCGGCCGCACTCGCCCAACGGGCCGCTCAAGTTCTCGGAGAAGTTTCAGCTCTTCACCCCGTTCTCCTTGGGCTTTGAGTTCAGACCGGGAAGAGAATATTACTACATCTGTGAGTCTTCATCTCATTACATTTGCTTAGTCTTGCTTGGCAGCTCTGTGATGTGTCAATCAACTCAGTAGTACGGCTGTAAAATTCCGGGAACCCCCTTCTCAAATTAAAACATTGGTCTATTGCTCGTAAAACGCTCGCATGACGAACGCTTCGATGCCATACATACAAACAAGCAAATGAAAAACTGTCAGGCAGTAAATGTCAGTGCCCTTCATGCGCAGCGTGTATTCTTACGCCGTTGCATAAACTAGTTCCTCGCACCCCATTTGACACCATGAAAGAGGAAAACAAGGACCTTTTTTGATTTATTATATTTTTTTGCAAGATGTTCATCAAAAATAATGATCAATATAAATATTCAAATTTCCAAAATGCAGTATTTCGGAATGTTTGGGTACATAAGTTTCTCCATTGAACAACACGTTATTCTGTACGTTAGTAAACAAAGAAATAACTTTTTTTTTTTCTAAATAAATGTCGGAATGCAGTCATTGCGTTTTCGATAATGAGTTTCGGCCTCCCTGCTATTTTCCGCTTTGTGAAGTAACGTCAGAGCAGAGGGTAGACGACATTAGTCAAGCTAGCTTAACATGTTAGCTGCCTTGCTAGCATGTCACGCTCACTTTCGTAGCTGGTTGCAAACATTCATTTCAAGAGAGCATTCTGTTAATATATGAAAGTTATTTTGGATTTGTTGATTTGTTTTACATATTCTTTCTTTGCCAAGCTGCGGTCATTGATAAATTACCCAAAAAGCTGACTTTTGGGGGGAAATCAGAGTAGCGTGTGTGGCTCACACCAACAAGCGAGGGGAAGGAGTCATGTCACTTTGCTTGCGCTGACAACTCAAACATAAAACCATGCCAAGAAAAAACAAACAACTCCTACCACAACAACATCTTCGGAAAATTTTCCACCCCATTTGCGACCCCAAATGTCTCGTGTGACACGTGTTTCTTGCAGCTGTGGTGATTTGTTAAATCATACGGAAAAACTGCACAAAAACAAAATGAATGGCCACGTTTTATGATTCGACTTATACAGCATGCCCTGAAATTTAAGAGAAAAGACAGAGTCTGCTCCAGGAATTTATTTGGCCTTAGTAGGGAATTCAAATTTATTTTCTCCCCTTAATAAATCATAGAAATAAGAACTGATCTGTTTCATCAGGCCAAGTTTTTGCTGTAATAAAACTGTAAGCATATTCAGGTCATGTTTATCATAACATTTTTGCATGAAGCGAATGAAGAATACCTGAAGCACAAGCACAAAATCGGGCAGCCATGTTTTCACACCGAGCGCTGAGGTCGACACTTTCGCGGAAAGACTTTTTTCCTAAAATGGCAAAGGTATTCGAAGGCTGGTGTGTGTGTGTGTGTGTGTGTGTGTGTGTGTGTGTGTGTGTGTGTGTGTGTGTGTGTGATTCTCCAGCTGCATTATATTGGAGTCTTCAAAAGGAATACCCTCCATCTCATGTTCAACGTTCGGTTGTCTGCGCCTCACTTTGAGGTTATCTCGAGTTGAAGGGTGCTTAAAGCAAGCAAAACCTCTGTGGGGCAACTCCATCAGGAGGAATGGATATGGCGCCTTCATGAAATTCAAAGTCAAAATGAACTTCACTCCTTTAATACATCCTTAATGGTTCCTATTTCGGTACGTCGAATAAAACCAATCATGGATAGTTTTCAAACCGGCACATTGAGAAACGACCCTGACCATGAAATCCGAAGGGGCGTTTTGAACAAGCCGGTATTCTAGAGGAGAAATTGCAGTCGTTGAATTCAGAAGGTGCAGCAATGTATAGATCCATTTAATACACACAAATACATTGTGGATGGCCGTTTCCCCCGTAACTTTTATGTTAAAATCTTTTTGATTGTTCGTTGTTGTAGTCAAAATATATATTTCCTTTGCCGTAAGCTTTAGTCATCAAAATTCTGAAGAATGAAATCAAGTAGGCAGTGAATTAACGCTTTCACGCATCAATAATGATGACCTTTGACCTGAAAACATGATAGGCTGTTCACTTTAGTGACCGCTGTACCTGAAAAGGTGAATGAGTTTCTCCTTTTTAATTTAACTACTATAATAAACTATTTTACACCATATTCTAATTTATGGAGATGTGGCTTTATAAAGGGGCATATTTTATTTACTGTACATGTTAGTATCTCCTTTTAACCCCAAATTTCTGTTCTTTTAAGATCAAGTTAAGGCACGTGAAATGCGCCTTTATGGCAAAAGAGACGATTGAGGGAAGTTCTTCCTCCCTCAAAATACTCTCGGGAGATGGAGGAGTGGGCGCAGTCGCTGCCATATGACAAGTTTAATGCATAGTTTGAAAATTGATGGCACATTTATGTTCTGAAATGGGGGGAAATTAGTTTCATGTCTGGTTAATGCATTATTGATTCCGCCATTTGGAGTAAAAAACTTTTAAGGTTGGTGCACTTTTTGTGCTAATGAGGGAAAACAAGTCTCTCTGCAGGCAATCTTAACCGAACGCTCAAATACAACATTGACGAGAATGACATACTTCTGCCGGCGATGAACAAAACTCATTTGCATGATCGCTAAATGATGCATTGCTGACAAATTAGGAATAAATGAAGAAAATGTATCCCTAATGCGGCATCAATTTTTTTTTCAATCCATTCCCTATACATTTGCAACAAAATCTCCTTTGTAGAGGTTAAAATCCTAAAAGGATTCCTTCGGGGAACACCAAACTATATATTGCATTTCATCGGTGGCACCTTTTTGCTCATGAATCGTTTGTCTTCGATTAGAACATTTTAAAGATCGAGAGAAGCCAAACTCGAAATCACAATTATTTTGAGATGAATCATCCAGCCCGAGACTGTCATATGATTTTGCCTGTGAACTTTTTTTTATTGTGTTTTCTCCACAAGCCACAGCACAGAATGGGTCAGCTGAGTTGGGCTCGAAGTGCCAAGATGTGTTTCCTCCATCGGCAACTTTTTATGACGCAGTTAACCAAAGCGTAACCTTCGATTTTTATCCAGACATCTTTTCGCATTTCTCTCTCGTTCTGCTCCACCGCACCTAAATGGGACCCTCACCGAGTGCGCTGTTGTTTCTGTGCCGAAGCGCAATCTGGAAAACTAAGACAGAAGCCTTGCGCTTATTTGACAATTTGTCTTCATCAAAATTTGCAATATGCTCCTTGTCATTGAGACCAAAACGATACAGTGTCATGCTAATGAAGATGAGAGGAGCTTGATCGGGGTTAGCGGAGGGTTACACAACTCCTCCATTTGCTCATGTCGCTACTTGCAACGTTTATTTTTTACTGCTGAGAGATGCTTGTCCTGCGGGCCGGATTAAATTACCCCGCGACCGACGAGGCTCGCCGTGGAACACATGCGTTCGGCTGTTGCACGTCGTATTGGTTTAGTGGCCCGCGGCTTCATTGGCTATTGAATGATTCTAGCGTACAGCCTCTCTGGCTAGCAGGGCGGATATTAAAGTCATCTAGCATGAAGTTGTCTGACATGTGATTTCCCGCCGCCATTGTGTCCAGCTCCAATGTCCATAAAAAGCAGGCGGGATGGCTGCTGACGGATTGGGCTGTCTCTTTGGTGGACAGAAAGTCGAGCTGAAGGAAGATAGAGAGGTAGTTACGTTGCGCCAACGACACTCGTACCGTTCGTTCATCGACTGCGTCCGTTTCCGTCTCCGCTATCGTCATCACGACCATCAGCCGATGCGTTCTCTGAACTACGGGAGACCTCTCTGGCTGCACTTTTGTATTCCGATAGCGATTGCAATAACCCAGTGATAAATTCAACTCTTCAACTCAGGCAGTTAAATTAAAGCACTAGACGGGGGGAACCTAATTACTGCTATTCTCTCAGGTTACATTTGAGTTTAATATGCCGTTATTGTGAATATTCAGGAGTTAAGATGGTGGAAAAACATGAGAGGAAAAAAAAAAACAGCGGCTCAGACTTGATTATCTCTAATCTTTTATCTCTAATCCTTTTAAAAGAGCAAAACTGAATGCCACAGCTGCGGAAAATCTTTGGCTAATCTTGTTTGTGTGCCACCAGCAGGTCTGCAGGCTTTGCTTTCTGGTCATCTGAGTGTTAAATATTGTTTCGGGACACTCTCCATTTCCTGTTTGCGCAACGTGCTTACAAGCTAGGTTCATTGTATTAACAAGGGACCGATTGAGCCAACTGTTGCCAAACTGCAAACAACAGGTGACAACAGTGATACAGTATGTAAACACGTAATTACTTCTACATTCATCACAAGCTAGCCCGATTACAAGCGCAGCTAAAATAACTCATCGTTTGACCATTGTTACCAACCTTTAGCATTGCTAAATGACGTTTGTTCATGCTAATATGTTATATTCTATTCTGTCATAGTAATTTAACCAAGCAAAAATAATGTCCATCTTTTATTGTAGCCAGACCAGACACGAGGTTATTCAGTAGAATTTTCAGTAAGATATCCGAATACCAAAATATTCTATCTGCTGCCCTACTCATTATTCCGTGTCTGGACCAATTTTGTGAAGTAAACAGACATAAAGTCAGGTTTGGATATAAAATGCCACATTAGCCAAATGCCTTTCTAAGCAGATGGATTTTTGGTCGCTACTCCAAAGAGCTTTGACTGGGGGGGGGGGGTAAAACGTTGCAGATTTAATGTTGAGGCGTCATGCTGAGGTCTGTAATTAAACTGTTCATTCCTGAACAAACAAGAAGCCCGAAGCAACGTGATCAGCTATCTAAGGTAACTCCAAGAAGGATTAATTATTGCGGATTCAACGATGATTACTGACAAAAGAGAAATAGTGTTGTCAAGATAATTAATCATGTAAACACTTGATTTGGGTAATGAAGACGTAGAAGGGTTGACAAAAATGTAGAGCCCCTGAACCCTCAAATTGCTTATTGGCTGCCCTATAAGTGTCTGTGTGTGAACGTATGTAGGGAAATAGTGTACAGAATTCAGAACGACCT